TGATCTTTTTTCTCAAAGGTTACATTAAATCACTGCTTTGATTTAACAAAGCACAAACACTCGCTGCCCTTCGAACTGGTATTATTTATATCATGATGAAATAAATGCTAAGATTAGAACTTGGTGTCTAAGAATTGAATTTTTAAAATGTCCAGTTAAAATTAATTTGCACTGAGTGAAACCTTAAAGTTAAAGACCTTATATAAAAAAAGTTAAATAAAATTAATATGTAAATTAAATAAAATCAAGTCAGGGGTTTGCTTTTCATTATAATCCTTATATATAATCGAATAAGTAAGAACCGCGAGCTTTCCCGCTGCTTTTGGGCTTCTTCGCTTTTTTGTTTAAACTTTCTAGGAAATGTCAAATTTTTTGGTGCAACGAATATCTCTTAAAACATTGGTTTTTGAATGCGGTATTCACCACATCGACTAGGAAGCCGTTCAAAAACCGTTCGAGCGATAATAGGGAAATCCTAAAAACATTTTAGATAATTTCAAAAAGAATTTTGGTTTTTATATTAAAGCGTCAAAGCTTCACATCGAAGTAAGCATCATTATCCCCGCAGTACTTTATAATCCTGCGCCAATGAGGATCGAACATGAGTAGGAAGGGGTTGCCGTATATTATAACAAGGCTCCGTGCGCGAGTTATTGCTAAGTTAACCTGTTCGATGAAACCTTGTCCAAGGCGCAAATCGTTTTTTATGTAGTTCTCATTTGATCTCACTGTTGAGATCAAAATGATGTCGCGTTTCTAAAAAAAACCAAGCGAAAGCAACATTACTATTAATTCGAACATTAGCGAAATTTTATGAAATTTATACCTGTCCTTGGAATTGCTCCGCAGAACCAATTTTGGGCATTGCTACATTGGCATAACCAAAAAGGTCGCGCAATTGCTTGGCTTGTTTTATGTACGGTGTTATAATGCCGATGGATTTCGGTTTAATGTTTTTTCGATACAACTTAACTGTCATTAGAAAGACCTTGAAAAATTAAATAAATGTTATAAAATACTAATAGGATTGTGCTTTTAAACTAGATACAACTTATTATCTTCGCTTCATATATATTTCGTCATACATATTTAACCAGAGGGTGTCCTTACCGCGCGTTACGGAGAAGAAAACACCGTGTGTTTTCGCTCGTCTCGGTGACTGCGGCAGCAGTCCGAGGCTGGACGTCTAGGTGAGGAAAAACATCCTTATAGTATATATAGTATATACAGGGAGATTTATTATTTATTACTTATAGTTTTTTTCTTTTTTTTTTTTTAGATCCTTCCGAAAGGAAGCATTTCAACAAGAAGGAAGCAGATACAAAAATATTAAACAGGCTTCAACGGTTCATTTCGATTAGTGATTTTTAATTACTCTAACACAATAAAAAAATTAAATTCTCAACGTTACACAAATGATGTCCGTTTACATGAACAGACAGCTAACAATCGGAGAGAGGAAAAGAATCAGGCCATCAGTGGAGATTGCAAAGATATTAGAAAATTTGAGGGACTTTATCACCTCGGAATGGTCCCGCGGCTTCACGTCCGACGACGGCTGTCTCCTCATCAACAGAATTAAGTACACAGGCACAGTCCAGGAGGAGGGCGAATTCGAGTCGTACGACATCGACCCGGAGGTATACTTGTACATCATTTTTAATCACCAAAACGACGTAGAGAAACGCCACCTGCGGCTGCTCACAGAATACGCCATTGCGAGGTATATGAGATGAGCAGCTGTAGATATGGCACCGAATTCAGATTCGCTCATTTCATTATTCTCATATGGCGCCAAATTCGAAGTCGCATCACACGTGACTCGCTCATTTAATTACTCTCAGATGCTTCCAATCTGTTGTGGTAAGCGGTGTTATCAGATGTTTACAATCTGTTGACATTCTATAACGGTTTTTTATCCTGGCCGCCAATACGAAAAATATGTGCACGAAAGGCCTCCAGAAAGTGGAAATCAAAAATTTCCAATATAAAGGTTTATTGAACAATAGTTAGATGTAGTATATGGCACCGAATCGTCATTTGGCTCTTCATCGAACAGTGACAATCTGGTATTATTGTTCCATGGCACAAAACGATTCAACTTGAAATTCATCTCATTTCCGGCTACAAGTAAGCGTATGAGTTTAGAACTTAACTGGTCTTTTTTTTAGTGCACACAGAAAGGAGGAAGTTTTACTACTATTTTTCATTACTCTTTCCTATTTTTTGATTCGCGGTATTACTGAATTTATACATTTATATATACAAGATTATATATTATATTTCAAGCACTTGTATGAATGTATGGAAAGAATTAACATCAAATTTTTCAAAATAGGGCAAAATCGAATGCCACGCCTATAAAAATTGTACAAAACTATTCAGGAGACGTACAAGGGAAGATGAATGCATATTTTTTATGCATTTATATATACAAGATTATATATTATATTTCAAGCACAAAAAAAGAAAAACTTAATCTTGTTGTAGTTGTTTTGATAATGCGTTGCGTTTCAGACTAGAAAAGCGTGATTGACCATTCCTTACTTATTACATCTTATCATACCATGGCTGAAAGATAGTTTTCATTTAATTATTCAATTCCTTTAGTAGATGCGGCATATGAAAACTTACATTAGTCACAGTTAAAATGGACATTTATACGCGCCCAGCAAACCAGCTAGCTCGCTTTCCAATCATACGTTTTTTAATTTTATGATTTTTTGACACATATCTTTCACTTGTTGAGAAAATTCGTCACGTCTTCCATTCTTAAGCCTATTCATTCAATTTTTGAAAGAATTTTAAATATTAAAAAGAAACTTTTTTACTTCTTATTTGACGATCTTATTTTATCCGCGGTCAGAATTGATTAAACTATGTCTGTCCGTCTGTATATGCGTCTGTTGTTAGCGCTCTCCTGGTCGCAAAAATAAAGATTTCGAATTTGGAAGACACATTAGAATTTTTTGTGTGCAGGTAGGTATTGAAAATGGACCAAATTGGTCCGAGCAAAAGCCCGCAGAGTACCTTCGATGTTATAACTCACTTACCAAGCAAAGTTTACTTTACACAATAGATGTTAAAAAAATAAATAAAAAATTTCTTAGTAAAATATAAACTTAACAAACGTATTCATTTGTCTATGAAATTAAGTTTTAGCAGTGGGTCAATTAAAGCAACAACTCACTTAAAAGTTTCTTCCTGCCTGTACATATTCTACAAGCGAGACATGAGTGCGGTATATTTCAGCCTTTTTAATAATTATTGAAAATATATTTATACAAAACAATCCTTCAAAAAGAAATTTTAGCTTTCTTTGTTAGTTTTACAATTACTTAATAATATTAAGAAACAATTCTATTAGTTCTCGTAATATCAATCCCACTAAAATTTTTACGCATTATAGAACTCTAAATTGTCTTAATCGAATAGGTTTCAATGCTGAACTGCCTCGCTTTCTCATTGACTATGTCTGGTAGGAAGTTTTCATCTTTTTACTGCGACGACTAAAGTCTTGTTCATCACCATCCGAGTGATCACAATTAATTAGTTGATGGTAACTGCTGGCATCAATTTCGCTTCCATTTTTAGCAGATTCCAAAAGGCGTACCTCCTCTTCCAAAATAGCAATTTGATGTTTAAGATCATTCACGTCTTTTTGATTAGCCTGAATTTTTCGTCTCATATTTTGTATGCAATCGGTAGTTTTCTTTAAAATCTGAGCTCGACTCGCCTTTTCTCCTTTTAGTGATGGCACTGCTTCTCGCAAATTAGTGAAGCTTTCTTTGATGTGATCACGTCTTTTGCGTTCCAATGCGTTATGGTGGGCCCGCTTTTCTTCTTGTGTGAAATTTTGTGTACTATTCCTTTGAGGCATACTAGTGCCCGTATCAGAATCATTATCGTCGTCACTTTCAATGTCGATATCTCTGTCATCATCGCTCATTTTTGACTTTGTCTTAGCGCCCGATATTCAGGTCGAAAAGCAATGGTTTTATTTGGATCTTTTTCGCAAAAATATTTTATTTCATAAAAAGTAAGTAAACACAAAAAAATATGAAAATAAAAATAAACAGAGAATATCAGGATTGCCAAAGTTATAAATAAAGGATTACCTTTTCGATTTTTAACATATACGCTAGGTTGCGATTTCAAAACTATTTAATCGAGCTCGATTCTCGCATGTTGTGTTGAAATAATTTCGGTTGAGTGAAGAGTATGAGAGACAAAACAAAATGCACAAAAATAATTTTGAAAGACTACGAAGTCTTCATGACGACAAACGATACATGTTACTTTGTTAGTTAATGAGGATTAATCCAGTTTCAAAAATGATCTATACCACATCCTCGCCCCTAATACACTTCGGGACTATATATTGATCTTGATATCTTTCATGATTTAGTTCAAACGTTTACGATGTAATGATCCGCTAAACACAGATATTGATCCAAAACTCGCTACCAATATTTTCTGCGTATGGCTAGCAAAATATACAAAAAAACCACAGAAGTCGACTAGTAGGAGAAAGTATAACTAAAAGTAGAAAAATACGAAATGTAATTATAACTATAGAGTTTCGTTGCCGGTCCATCCTTGGCATTTACAAATGAGCTTATGTGAGATTCCCGAGTTCATACCACTCGAACGTTTGCGTATGGAAACTGGAACGATGACCACGTACCCGGAACTTAGCTTTCGTTCGAGCCGAAGTTGATAGTTGATAATCTCTTTGCTTTTGTTTCACGAAAGACTTTCGTATCATTTTCGTTGTTATCATTCATGTCGAAAGAAAAAGAAAGTAATTTTTTTTATATAGATTTTCGACTGCCAAAATTCAAAAAATAATAGTTGGTTGTTGTCTCTGATAAAACAAGTAAACAAGCAAAAAAAAGTGTGAAGTGCATAAACGTTTTAAACTTTTAGCGTAGAAAGGAACAGAATACGCCCATTTGTTTGTTAATCTAGGTCTTTGTCTTCATATGCTGTGAGTAGCCGGTGACTCCAGCCTATGCCTTTGCAAAATGTGCAAAGTTCCCTACTGTGGATTGTTTAAAATTAGCAACAACTATTAGCGAGCTATTCCCTTTTTTTTTTACTTTTATATGGAGTTTGTATGTGTTTTATACATTTTATACATTTCATATATATACCTTTTATAGGACGAGATGGATTCGGTTGCCTGAATCGCAAGATGAAGATTTGATTTGGAGGAAATGTTAAATTTACCGCCCATTGCAGAAGAGGCTTCAACAACCACTGGAAACGTGACATTTAATTTGAAAGATCTTAGTGAAAGTTTAAGAATGGCAAATGAGCTTGGCGATTTCTTTATTGAAATTGATTCCTCTATGGAACGAAGTCTTATTTTTAAGAGGCAAATTGCTAATGGGACTGCTGCGTATCAGTCTGAATTAAAGGAGCTTTGAAAAACTGCCAACCAAGGGAAACTTACAAAATTCTTCAAACCGTTGCCTAAGATAATTAATCAAAATACTCAAAAACTTTAATTAAGTTGATTTTTTTTATGTATTTGATTTTTTTTTATTTTGTCATCTAGGAAAGTATCCCCTATAATCCCATATAAATTACCATTATCATTACCGTATTCACGGTTTCTGCATTCGCGGCATTTTTGTGCAATATATACACCGCGAATAAGGAGCTTTTACTATATTTCCTTATTCTTCGGTGATGATGTATGTTCCATATATTTTTGTACATTTTATCAAAAGTTTATATCTTCTTATATGAATCTTGTCTTGTCAACAGTTTGTGCGGGAGGAGGGTGATCATCTGACAATCAGTAAAAATAAGACATGTGGGGACAAGCCAGATTGACTGCTTGGTGTCTACGGGTAGACATTTGTACGGGCGGACATGTTACCGGTAAGGAAGCAAAACACACGCAGTAGATGTATATAATGTTTATGGCACATTCCAGTTTTTTTGCCCCTTCATTGCGTTTGTTTTAATTTCATGACGATTTCGAATTTAAGAATTTTTTGTCCTTTTTTCCTCTGTTTTAATATTATAAATATTTATTTAAAAAATAACGGCATAATACATAAATATTTACAATTTAATAATAAAAACTCTTACATGGTCTTGTTAGAAGAAAAATTAGGAAAATAAATTTCTTAATTGCCAAAGAACAATGTTTATTTAAAAACTAAATTAATAGTCACCGTAACCGTCATTTGTTATTAATTCATAACTACTTAACGGGGAGAAAAAAAATATTGTGCACATTTCGATATACTTCGCATTTGATTGTAAAAAAGGTAATGCTTTATAACGAAAAAAAGAAGTTACTTCATAAATTAGGCAAAATGGCAAAATTAAAACCAATTCGAATGTTTACGGAACAAATTTAAATTCCTATGAATAGAAAAGTATTACAATTATTATTTTCTATGTTTCCCTATTCTACGCTGTATTAAGTACCTGAAAGCAATGTTAAAAAAAGGAAAAAAACACCAAAAAAGGCTCAAAACTTAACACTACTCTTATGCAAATTTAATATTTATTATTATTATTATTATTTTAATTTTAGACTAATGAATGGAATTCTTAGACTAAAAAAAACACATTGAGCACTAGCAACACAGGCTATCGGCTCTAATTTAAATAAATGAATATTAGATAATAAGGTTAGTAGTATTAATAAAGTAAAATATTGAATTGATATTCTGTTCTGAAGCTGATTGTA